TATTGTTAGGCCAATTTGTTTTAGTATAAACTATAAAGTGATTACTAACATAACCCAGAGTTATTTTTTCTTTTTCGACTTCTGAAATTTTCGTCTTCAACTTCTAACAATGAATCACGAACAAGTATATGTTAAGTATATAGAAGAAAAGGTATGTTTATATACTTACTTGGAAGATCCCATGGATCATATTTGTATATATCGACCTGCTTGATGAGCTCTAAGCAGATGGATTTTCCCTGCACCTTCCTCAGTAGATAAAATCCCAACAGCTCTTCATCAGTTGGATGAAATCGAAAACCAGGCGCAACAATATTCTCTTCTGCGTCAATTTCTGATTGATGATTTCCCTCCATCGTCTCGGAATTAGTTAATATGTTCTTATCACGTCAGTCTTTATGTGTGATGATCATCTGATTCAAGATTTATTTATTTTTTTGGGCAAATCAAGTTCACAGACCTGAAATCTTGATTGTTGTGTATATACAAGTGATTTTTGGCTTTAGTCAAAGTCTTCAAAAGCACACTCATCACAACACTTGTAAGTGTGTTGTGTAAGCTATACAACAGCTCTAAATAAAATAGCCAAAAGGATGGCCCTTGGGAAATTTCCTCAGGGTAACTATTGAAAGTCAAGTGCTTGCTTCATTTCCATGCATATCCCACATTATATTATTTAAGACTATCTACATAGTTCAACTAATGTATAGAATTTTGATTATTTGGCTGTTGAAATAAGTATAATTATTAATTGCATAAAAAAATAATTGATAAGTGAAGTAGTCAATATATATACGGGCACTTATATAATATAAATAATAATCGTAAGGGTGATGTTCGACCAATCTAATGGTTCACGTAATAATACTTTTTTAATATTTTAATAAATGTGCGTACTTTCAAATTAAAATATCCTACTTATAACAATGTAAATAAAAGTATGAAATGTTGTTGTTAGGCATAGCTAAAGTAATTGGTCAATTCGTAAGCCTCATCAGCTTCAGATGCAGGTTCGAATCCTGCTCGTGACATGATTCTAGTCTATAAGAATCCATGAGGTTTCTTGAGTAAGAGTCAGACTACTACTTACTATATGATAGAAGAAGTGATGACTGATTGAATTCAACTTCGACAAGGGCGACTGAAGCCTATAGCTAGTCCACTTCTCACTCGATGGAAACAGCTAGACAACCATAATATTTTAACAAATATGGATAATTTGAAATTGAAATGTCATACTTAGGAAAACAATATAAATAAAACTTGACATTACGTATATATTTTAGTAAAAAATGTATAATGGGTCAATGCTTCTAATAGTTTCCACACAAGAATGTATGATATAACCTATTTTTTCTTATTTTGTTAATGAAAAAAAAATTAAAAACTAATATAAATAGGCATACACAATTGACCAATAGGAGGACAAGTAAACATGCAACGATGCTAAAGTTGCTTCAAAATGTCAAAAAATGTGCACCACCAAATGCAATATTAGTCTTGGGACGAGATTTGGTCGCTTTGATGTTATTTTATTTTATTTTTTTCCTTCCGTTCTAGACTGAAAAAAATGTCTTGAAGAAAAGAAGGATACATTTTTCTTCGATGTTGATTAATATATTGGCAATTTTTCCATAACTCACAAGTTAGATCATCCCTTCCCTTATATATATATTAATTCAGAACATGCTGAGCTTAAGTGGCAGGCTCGCATGCTTTGGGATCCCTATGTGGCAAAATTACATGTTTCGTTATTAGGCTTGGGTCGATTTTAATTTACTTCCAATCCAAAAATAATTAAGTTCGGACTATCCATAAATATGTTAATTATTTATAGTCATGTTATATATATTAATTACATCTTAATATCATTTCTTATTATAACCATTGAATTGTAAATATATTTTAAAAGCTAATAACTTTTGTATTTTTTATTAGTTTTACATATATAATATATCAAATTAATCATCTTTTGATGAGTTTCGATTTAACATTCATATTATATGCATAAAAAAAATAAATCATATTTATTTTTATAACAATAATAAAATTATTTATATTTCAATTAGTTATATGATATAAGTCATAAAATTACTATAATATAACACATGTAAGTCGCACAATTAACAAATGTCATTCTAAAAGATATAATAACATATATTTTTTGTAAAAAAATAAATAAAATTTAAAATAATTTTTCTCATTAATTTTAAAATTTAAAAACAATTTTTTAACATACACCCGTGTAATACACGGGTGTTGTACTAGTTTAAAATATTTATATTTAAATAGAAAGAAATACGCCAGTATAAGTGAAAAATTTTGTGAAGGTTCTTAATATCGGTCCCCCATTGGCTTGTTCCATATAAAACAATATAAAAAATATATTTTTAAAATAGTTTATTGGACAGCATCCATTTAAATTCCACTTTCCAAAGAGCTAATTTCCATTTAAAGACGTAATAGGAATTCCATCACTATAACATAATGGATTTAGTACAAACAACACCTGGGGTTGGGGAGGCTAAGAAGTAAGAACATCAAAAATGATTTCAAGAAGAAAAATAATAAACAATGGAAGCAGGTTTTCACCTACCCAATCAAACTCTGTCAGCAGAAATTCAACCATATGACGCTGAAGACTATTACAGACTTCTCCAACTTGATTCCCATACAATTCCAAAATCAATAATAACTCTTAAAATGTCTAATGTTTAGACAACAATATTTTTTCAATAATATATATTTTTCACATTTAAATATAATACTTTAGATTGCAATATAAACTAAAGTATAACATTTTGGAGTATAATTGTACTTAAATATCATACTTTAAATTGCAATATAAACTAAAGTACAACATTTTTTAGTATAATTGTACGATTTTTGTGAGAAAGTATGAATGTTAACATGGTGAAAACTAAAAACAAATGCTTCAGAAAACTAAAACAAATCTGTTACCTGCATTGTTAACATTCATTTTCAGGTAATGAACCCTGCAGGCTACAGCATACCATTTTCTTAGACCATCCAACAAACCAAACTTTCACATTGGTTTTCTTTTCAAAATGTTACTGGTAAAAAAGAAAAAAAAAGATGCTCAATAAAATTCTTCTGCAATACAAATATTAGATTATAGAGTACCAAAAATTAACAACATTAGCCAAAAAGGTAGTACAAAAAGTAAGCCACTCCTTGCCTATTTACATTCACAAATCACAACAAACAAATGATCCTTTAATGAATTGCCACCCCAAATTCTGCCTTTTTACCTGTCCTCAAATCAGCTCCACACCAGAGCTTGGCAATGGCTCATGATCAACAAAGACTAACAAAAATGTACCGAACGATGAAATCAAAACAATAAAAAGCATAACTTTTTCACTATTCATCCATACGAAACGACAGATTTGAGGCTGTCCAAAGATTGCATATGTGGGAAAGCAGTATCGAACTCTTCAGATGTCATGCCAATAGTTTTCCTGCAAAAAGTGAAAAAAAAAAAGAAAAAAATCCAACCGTANNNNAATTCTAAAATCTACGAGAGTCATCAGGAAAACAACAGTACCTCTTAGATATAAAGGTCTCTTCAGACAATGCCTTCTCCAATCTCTCCTCAAACGGTGTTGCGTGCCAGTTGACTTTTTGATCCTGTGGTTTGCATAGTAGTAACAAGAATATATTATTCAGGCAGTAGGACGAAAAAAAAAAGAAGCAAATGATAGAAGACAAATAAAAATACCTCTTTGTACTTGTTAGTACAATTCGGGATCCCATTCCCATCCCACCACTTAGGTGAAACGTGAGAAATCTCATTCTCATTCCAATGAGCCGCCATCATGCCTAAAATCGGCCTATCTTTGGGAGTTTCCCCAAAATAATCCTTTTCACGAGAAAAATGACTAAATTTGTCAACTCTACCACCTTTATTTTGTGAAACCGGCTTCAACCAATTGGACAGGCTTGCTTCCATTTTCATCTCTTTTTTGACCGAAATCTGTTTTGCTGCTGATTTAGCCACCGGAGTTGATATCACGTCATCTTCTTTCCACGGCCTAAGCCTAGTTCTCTCGCCATTAGAATCGGAATATTCATCCTTTGACTTAATTTTACCATCATTATGTAATGCAGGAAACTCAGAGCCAGGTGTCTGCACCTCATTGGACGATTTGAGAAGGGTCGGATAAGGTGATGGCTTTACTACACTTCTGCTGCCGAGAAATCCAAACTGCTTCAGGACTTCAAATGGTGAATCCAGAAATATACAGTACAACTACAGAACTTGACTCACGAAACTTATAAAGCAAAGATGAAGAAAATATCAAAATGAAAAAAAAAAAGAAAAAAAAAATCTTTGAAGTCAAAAGTGATGAACATTTCAGCAAATACATCCAACACTTGCAATATTGTCATGAGGTTTCCGTTAAAGCCAAAATTCGAAACTATACTATGAAGATCAATTACAGTCCCACTCAATGATGTTAAAAGCCATGGGTCGAACTTTGAAGTACCTTCTGGAAGAACCCACCGGTGAATCCAATTTAGCTTCCCTCTTCTCGATGCCTTTTCTAATTTCAACAGGAGTTTCTTCAAGTAAAGTGCCACAAACTTTGAGGAACTTGCCCTGCACAGTAATAATCACATCACACATTTCACTATCCCAACAGTCACACCAGCTGACTTAAAAATTATGCATTACATCTTTATTCACGCAGCAGTGACATTTACATTAAAAATGCAGATAAACAGAGAAGTTTTAAAGGTCTATATCTAACTGGAAATATACGGAGAATTTGATTAACCGAGCAGATAGTATCAATTCTAATGCCCGAAGGCGAAAAAACGCATACATAATAGCCGATAGCCGAAAAAATCGAGATACCACACCAATATACACATGAACTTTCCAATCCTAGAAATCCAATTTACAACTTTGTGATATTTTTTTTTTTCTAAGAGTCAAATCGAGATACGAACCTCCTCCCTGAGCTCCTTAAATATCAACTTCCCGAGGCAGCGAATTATTCTGACCTCCCTCTCCCTTCCCCACCGCTTCGTCTTTTCAGACAATAAGCACAAAAACAAAAATCCACTAATATAAAGCTCAAACAATCAGAAATTCCACAAATAGTACAGTGTACTTATGCAATTCCAACCACATGATGCGAACTCATTTCAAGGTTCGTCGTTATCCCCGAAAATCGCCGAATAAACAACATAATGTTTTGAGAGGGAAACATATAAAGAATTACCATCTCGCTGGAATAAAGACGAAAGAGCATTATTACTCCCAGGCACCACCGGCTCCGGCTCAAATTCAAAACAAAAAATTCAAAAATCAGAACAAAAATCATATAAATGCTGCTAAATTCAAACTCAATCGTCTCGTTATCAGAGCTTACGGAGGTTTAGCCGGATTAAAGCTCGAGTCTTTGGTACGAAAACAGCCGAAAAAGCCGCCCATCTTCCACTACCAACCCTTCACCTTCACCTTCTTCTCAGAGGAAAACATGATTGGCGACACCGTTTCATTTCATATATACATACAACTGCGTGATTATGCATCGATCTCTGTAATAATTGAGTTCGATCGGTGGGATTAATTTTGGGAGGGAGAGAAAGTTGGAGTGTCCCTTCGCTGATGGCTCCCTTGCGTTTTGAAATTCGAACACAGAGAAAGAGGGAAATATTTTTTATTGAGAGTTTCTTTTTATTTCATGATCATGCAACCAAACCGAGACATTCGTGGCTCGGCATGATGTTTGATATGTGAATTGAATCCAAAATTGGTTAATTGCTTGTTTAGTAAGCATATCAAGCAGCTCTGAAAATAGAGCTTTTATATAATTTTTTGAATTGTTGACTCAAGCTTTTATTAATTAACGAGTTGAGTTTGACTTGCCATGATAATGACTCGACTCTCGAACTAGAGTTCGAGTGTCAAAAGCTCAAGCTAGACTTGACTCGTTACATTCATGGACTCAACTCGGTTCGTTTGAAACGAACAGAGCTTGAATTTGGCTAACAAATCGAGTCTCACTCAATAAGTAAGGGCTTTTATGTAATTTTTTGAATTGTTACTTTAATTAGGTTCGAGTTCTATTCTTCAAAACTTTTAGTCGGTTTGCTCAGTCAACGAGCCGAGCTGGATTTGATTAAAAGGTAGCCAAATAAGTTATAAGCTAGCTTATATATACTTATCAAATCCAGCCTAAATTATCAAATTTCTATCAAGACGTGCTATAGAGTTTTATTTGTGATTCATAAATTTGAGATCCAACTTTTTTATTACGCAATTACGCTTTAGGTTCGACCATTCTATATCACTCTAAGTTTCTTTAATTAATCACGAATTTTACTACTAAACCTGAACCATCCATTGGATTAAAGTCTACTTATTAAGCAACACATGAGATTTAGTTGGTAAATAAGAATGTCAATGACACCAACAACTTAATTGTTATATATATCTACATACAAATAAGTATAAAATAATTGTACACGATTTTCTTTCTTAATTTTTAAATGTACATAATTTTCTAATTTTTTAAATTCATTACGCAATCGGGCATAATCCAGTGCCACGGAAAGGAATCAGGAGAACACATTTATTTATCTGCCTCAACCTTGGCGACCAAGAGAAGACTTCTTCGAAAACCCAATAAAAGCGAACTTTATCCACTGTTTTTCGACCCTGACAGCGACAAACCCCGATCCAGATTTTTCTGCCACCTTTCTTTCTGGTATGTCTATTATGAAAACTTTTTTCTTTTCTCTGTTTTTTTTTAAACCTTTCTGCTTCTAATTCTTCTATAAAGCTATCATCTTTTGAGTTTCTGGCTTGTTGGGACCATTTATAAAGTACTAAGTTTCAAGTCGCGTGCCTTCTGCATTAGTGTTGTTGTTGGCCCTCACTTTTGAATTTTTGCGTGTTATTAAAGTTTGGACCTTGTGAGAATTTCTTGATGGGTTTAACTTTTAAGGATGCCATGTTTGTAACTGAAGATTTGGGTTGTCTGATAAAGTTGTGCAAGAAGGGAATATAGGTTTCAATAATTTCTTGTGCTGTTAATTCTTTCTTTTTCTATTTGGGTGTGCATAAAGCCATCGTCTTTGAGTTTCTGGTTTGTAATTGCTTGCTTTACAATCGATGGTTGGGGTTAATATCTATTTATTCTGTCCAAGACAAGTTTTTTTGTTGGATCATTAATTTGGTATTCCCTTTAAATTCGCGTGCTTTCTGCATTAGTCTGTTGTTGATTGCTGGCCTTCACTTTTGACTTTTTGTGTGTTATTAAAGTTTGGACCTTGTTAAATTTTTTTGATGGGCTTCAAGGATGTTGTATCTGTAACTGAAGATTTAGGCTGTCTGATAGAAATTCTGCAAGAAAGGGTATGGGATGGGATTCTAAAATTCCTTTACTGGGATTTTGAAAAAGTTCCAATTTTTCTTTGTTTGATGATTTGCAGGTGTAAGAGTTATTAGAGGTGTTAAACAATTTGAGTTTCAAGATATTTGTATTGTTATTTAATGTTGCAAAAGTATTCATATTGTTGTTCTGCTCTACAATATAAAACCCATTTCTTTTCCAATAAAATTATAGAAATATGCTTCCCATTTTCACACCTTTTTTTTATAGGTTTTCACCTGTAATGAGAATAGAATATGTTGAAAAGTGAAAACAATTAAGTAAAAGTTACCAATGACTTCATGATGGAGAATTATCTAATACGAACCATCTTTTCACTTGAAATGATATATTCGTGCATTTTTGTATGCTGCATTCGTGCGTGAATAATGTTACAATAATGCGCGTCAAAGATGTTAAATTGCTCATTTGATAATTGCTATTTTTGGTATTTCAGTTCCAATTTTTTTTTTTTAAAAAAGAGTAATATGTTGATGGGATCTCACAAAAACCAAGCAGAGGTGCTTCTCAGAAACTATGTTTCAGCTGATTCCTTTGTCGCCTTCACCTCTGTGATGATCGGAATTTTCGTTTGCAAAACGGTACCAACACATTTTCCAACCAAAATTCACATTTCACCATTATACTTTTTATTTTCTTTATCCTAAATTTTCGTTTCGGAGAAAATGATATTATTAGTCGGGAATTCACTGATATTCAGGTGTATGATCTGGGCCAACTGTTTAGTGCTGTTTATTTCAAAAGCTATTTGAACCTCACAAAATCTCGACAAATTGAGTGGAGCAACCGGTAAGTACATTCTCTTAATTATCTTAAGGTTCA